GTTGGACACAAAATGGCATCCGTAAATGAAATGCCATTGTGTGGCATAAACAAATTTAAACACAGACAGACGTGTCGAACGTTTTGCTTTTGGTTTAAACCCCCACGCCTAAAGTCCATATGCGTTTTTTTATCTATGTTTGTTGTACGTACTGACCTTTACCGTAAATGTGGTTTCCTCCCGGTTACTGTCAAGTAGAAAGGAAGTGAGTGCTTTTACTTTGGTTCCCCAAACGGCGGTAAAAACAAGAGTTCCACAATGAATAAAGAACGTTTTACTATTGAAAAAAAAATCGAATTAAATATATGTACATTAAGTTAACTGATAACTAACGCCATTAAAAGAAACACGTTGATGCATTATTTCTTAAAATCCTATTCTTAAATAAGTATAAATCAATACTTAAGAAATTACAATATGTTCAATGCTTGGGAATTGTCCATAAGACACAAAGAAACATAAACTATTGTTTACTTCTGATTGTTTTATTTATGGAAGTCCTTTTTTGTTGATTTTTTTTTCTTATTTTCATACATCACCCATGGGATTTAACATTTTTTCCATATTGAGCAAGCATCCAGGAAAAAAACAAAATCCCGAAGCCAATAACACGAACACCAGCACACAGTTTCACCTTGACGAAGAGGAAAAATGTTTACAAAGGATTTTAGCAGCAGCATCTTCACTGATCTGCTCTCAGTCTGTTACATACATCACTCATATATCATTAGCATAACATGGCATAGAAAAGCATCCAAGGTAACAGAGCATCATGGGAAAACAAGTGTGCAGTTTAGTGTGTGTGAGAGAGGGGGTGGGGGTGCAGAGTGATTTCAGCAGTTTGGGAAAAACTGCAGGACTTAAAAGGCTCATTACTGTGTAGTCGCAGTGCAGCAGTTTCCAAGGCTAATTACAAAAATGCATTAATGTGTGTGTCAGTGTGTGTGTGTCTCTCTGTGTGTGTTTTACTAATAGCAGCAGGTCGGTTGCTATTGGAAACCAATGATCCTGACAGTCGTTGCCATGACAAACAAAAAGCATAACACTGACAGTGGGGAGGGAGGAAGGGGCCTGTCACTATGGCAACAGCCAGAAACAACAAAGGAGCCAAAGAAAGGAAAGAAAAGGAATGGAATAGAAAAGATGGAGCGGTTGAAGAGAGAAAAGAGAAACTCCTCTTTGCCTTGCTGCTGAGGAATGTTCACCAGATCTGCCTGAGAATGGAGAAGTTTTTATTTAATAGTTCATTTCCGCTTACAGTTATGTGTGTTTTTAAATGTTATGGTACAGTGGTAAAGTTCATGCCAGTGACCAGACCGTAATAATAACTAAAACATGGCAATGGCCTGAGTTTGGAAACAGCCAATAGGGTGTTAGTATGGACTGGCTCCAGCCCCTCTGATCTCTTTGGCAGAAATCAGGATTTCAGAATTGGATCAGTGAGTGGAAGGTGTGGATGTTGGAATCCTGCTTCTTCATGCGGGGTTTTACAGCAAGGTACGTTAACAGAGTCTGAGTCTGAGTCCACCTTGTGTCAGTCCAAAAACCTGGCTAAATGGAAATGGCTGAGCATCACCAGCCACAAGATCAAATATGCTGATGATCCAGGATGTTAGAGACGAAGCAGCCACGCTGGGGCTTAGATTTGTTTTCATCGAGTTATGGAGAAAAAACTATTTGAACTATGATTGGTGGGTAAAATCCCTCGGCTATTATGCAGTTTTGGGATTTAGTAAATATTCTTTGACATCCTGTCTGGTCCCACTGTAGGTGACTGTGACTAATCTGTGGACTAATGTGTTAGTGCTGTCTCTGTTTGAGGTGGAGCTCCTGCTCCACTGTTGACTCATCAGCTGAAGAAAACTCTGTAGAGCAACGGTGAGCAGCAGCCTGGACCACGCTTACATCAGTGTTAATGAAAACCAGATCATGTCAATAAGAAAAGCACTGTTTGGTGCTGTGTGTGTGTGTGTGTGTGTGTGTGTGTGTGTGTGTTTGTGTGTGTGTGTGTCCTCCCAAACACACATCACTACTGCACACTAGTCAGAAGTTCATTGGCTCGTGTCTGTGTTCAAGCATACATCAGTCCAGCTCAGCCTCCGGGCAGCTACAGACAGAAGGACACTAAGAAGCTGTGGAGAACCCTAGGAAAACACTAGAACATTTCAAGATTATCGAGCGTTGTCCCTTCTTTACACTGGCACAAGTCGCCCCACAAACACACAAATTCTGGCACCTTTGAATCGGTTAATCCTGGCTATTTTACATCACTATTAATATCTTACATCCTTCACTGACCTCACAGAGAAAACAAAAAACAAAAATACAAAAAAACAAAACAAAACAAGAAACAAACAGAAGGTGGTGCTGCAGAGACAATTAAGACCAGGAACTGTGTGCATCCACTGCAAGAACTACAGCTAGTAACAGGAACTGTTTGGTTGCACTGCAAGAACTACAGACAGTGTTAGGGACTGTTCGGGTCCACTGCAGGAAATACAGAGAACGACTCTGCAAGACCAATAACCGTGGAACTGTTTTTCATATCACCCAGTCTACATTAGTATCATTGCGAGATCTTCTCTGTGATGGAAACAGAAAACCCACCACAAACCATTTTGGAATCCTAGCCGAGTTCCTGGTATTAAACAGTTCCTGTTACCAGCGCACGCGAGTGAGCACCGGAGTGGGGGGGCGGGGGCGGCGGGTCGAGGGTGAGAGTCCATTTAAAAACACACTGTGTGGTGTTTGGTTATAAAGAAATGAACATGTTTATACTTTCAAAAGTGTAAAATGCTGACGCTGCAGATCTACAACGTCTGTAACACGGATGTCACGTGACCTGATGAGAAACGACAGATCTATCGGCATCAGTCCATCATACTAAACAACAGTCAGGTCCACGTTTGGACTAGGATCCTGGCAAACCTTCCCTCCATTGGACCCTTCAGTCATAAAGTCTGTCTGGAGCGGCTCTGCTAATTAGGATGAAACCGCTGAGAAAGAAAAAAAATTTAATAGAAAAGACTGATGTGAAAAGCTTGTCCAAATCTAGAAGGAAGACATTTGTTTTTGGCTAACATTTGTCATTTTTGGGACTAATGTTTAGGAGAACATCGAGTCTAGATGTTAGCTTTATCTCAGCTAAATGTATTTTTATTATCTTTTGGTTTCATTCTGGCTCACCTTGTCTGGCTAACTCTTTAACTAACTCTCATTTTTGTTTATTTCATACATTTTAAACTTGGTTTAACCTTATGCCAATATTTTAGCTACAGAGCTAATGTATCTGTTTTTTTGTAAGTTAACATAAATATTGATTACTGTCACATTGGTCTCTGCTTGTTTCTGTTGACAAAACAAAAACACCCAGATATGTTTTCTGTCATTCCTTGAAAAAAAAAAACACTGTACAGACAAAGGACAGTGTAGTCAGAAGCTATGTTCAAGCTACTTCCAGAAGCTAGGCTAAAGGCTAACATTTACACTGCACTCCTTTAACAGATGCTAATTCTGAATCCTGTCCACTCAGGAACTGACAGGAAGTTTCTGCCTCATCTTTCTCAGCTGAGAACATGAGCTGGGAATCATCAGAGCTGACAAATGAGGCCAAAGCTCCAACAAAAGGTTCCATTTGTCAACTCTTGAGGCCACACTGGTGGAAAATAATCAATGAAATATTGATCTGAGCAGCAGCAGTGTTAGCAGATGGCAATGGGCCGCATTAAAATGTAACATAATACAATAGTCAGAGTGGACTGGTTTGTAGAAGTTGTTAGGTTGTCCTCAGAATAAACCATGTGAGTGTTTTCACTCATCAGAACATAAGGGTGGAAACTAGTATGACTTTCACAAGCATGTTCCCATCACCACGACTGAAGAAACACCTTTGTCTGAACATTGTCCAAAAACCCACCAAAATATGTACAGGTGAACGGAAAATAATTGTCAGCTTTCACGCTTCCATGACGGCAAAACTACTTCTGTACCTAAAACAGATAAAGTAAAAAAAAAAAATTTCAGCAGGGACCAAGTGAGTCTAGTGTTTTCTAGGTGTTTCATTTATATATATATATATAGATAGATATGTATATATATATATATATGTAGATATATATATATATATATATATATGTAGATATATATATATATATATATATGTAGATATATATATATATATATATATCAGCTACAAAACCAATCCTGGCCAATAGGGTTGGATATGACTGTAGGAAGCAGACTCAATCACTATGAGAGATTACATATTTTAAATATGTAACAAAACATAATGACACGTAAAACCGAAAGATGTTCAAATGAAACGGAAATATTGTATGACATCTGACACAACACTTCACTGTTATGAAAAAACCCCAGCAAAATATATCCCGAGAATTTGTGATAGGATTAAAAAAATACGCAAAAAAGCAAAATAACATTTTCAAAAAGTGCTAAAATTAAGATTTTTTTAAAATCCTATTTTCATCTATTTTTTTCTTTTCTTTCTAGCAGTGTCTCTCTGATCAGGATCTGGGAGAAAAGAAGACATTTGTTGCATGGAAAAAAAACGCTGAGGTGGAATTTAAGGATAGAGGTTTCACTGACAGAGCGCCCCCTGGGGTATTCAGCCACTATGTTGCATCTTCTCTGTCGTTGTTTCCTCCTCAGCGGCTGTCGGCTGTCTAACCAAGGCTGGTGATGTTGGCCTTGCCACCGGGAGGCGCCACTATGCGCTGAGTGTTACGGCGAGGAATGTTGTCGTCAATCTGAGCTCCTTTGAGAAAATGAAAAATCACCAGTCACTAACATATTAACTTATACTAGCAAGCTAGCCTTGGCTATCACAAACCACAGGCTTATTTTTCACATAGTCTACTGTTTATCTCTTGTTTTTTCACTGACCAGACAGACTGAATCCAGACTGGTGCAGGTTGCGGACTGGTTGGTTTGGTTGTTTGGCAGGTGAGGTCTTGGCAGACGAGGCAGGAGTCATGGTTTTAGGTGTGACTGACACCTCACAGACTGGACCGTCGTACAGTCCTCGTGGTACACCCCTCAGCTCTGCCAGCTGTGGTTTAAGAAATGAGTCACAAACTGTCAGCAAATCTGAAAGAACATGACGTCAAAAACTGTCTCCCAGTCGACCAGGGACTGAGACAGGAAAGAGGGAACAGTCAGCCACCAGGGGGCAACCGCAACCCAAATGTATGTATTTGAATAAAAGGCAATATGAAGATGAAGAAGGCGGGACTTTACCCTGCTGCGAGCTTTTATCCTCTTGTAGACGTGGTCTGGGAAAGGTTTTCGGGCCACGTAGCGTCCTGATCCCTCAGTGACGTGGAGAGTTCCCTCCTCCAGGACCATCTTACCCTGACTGATCACCACTAGAGGGCCACCACGGATCTCTGTGCCTTCAAAGATGTTGTACTCCACCGTCTGCGGACCACAACACAAAATTCGTTGTTAGCGATCAAACCTAGTTGAGTTTGAAACTAAATATGTGAACATTTCTTAAAGGTGGTGAAAGTGTTTCTGGGTGAATCACAGCTTTTTTTGGTCAAAGCTTTGACTACAGTAACTGTGAACTGTTTTTGTGACATGGATAACTTTTAAGTCACCCGCTGTTCGTCATCCAAATCTGTAGTCCCAGTCTTTAATCTGTAATCCAAATGTGTAATCCAACACTGTTGACTTTGTGACATGTGATAGAATAAATGATGATGTCATCAATAACATCTCTCAGATGTTTGTTTCAGATCAGTGTGTGTGTGTGTGTGTGTGTGTGCCTGTAGGCCTGACTTATTTAGTGCTGAATATGAACTAATCAGCACAGTAAACTAGAAACCGTTATGACCAGGATGCAGTGACTCATGCTCTCCAGCAGATGTTTCTCTGACCAACACACTGATGTAAATCTGGACTGAACTTCAGTTGGAAACACAATCATGAGGGTCTGAGTCACAGAGGTTTTCTTCAAAGAGACACACGTCTCCGGAGTAACATCAGTGGTGTGTGTGTTCAGCCGTACGTGAAGAGTCTTTAGGATTAATGTGGATCCGAAATCAGTGAGGAAAGAAAGGAAGGAAAGATGTGTGTGTGTGTGTGTGTGTGTGTGTACTCGCCGAGTTGTGGGTCTTTGCGGAGATGATCTTGGTGATGTCTGGATCCCACAGAACCAGATCAGCGTCAGAGCCCACAGAAATCCGACCCTTCCGTGGATACAGGTTGAAGATCTTCGCAGCATTGGTGCTAGTCACTGCCACAAACTGGTTCTCGTCCATTTTACCTGAAACCTGCAGAACATTGGCAGTGGTCAAGGTGACAGCAACTTCTCTGAGTGAGCCCCGTCACTGAAATATCGTTTTTTCTTGTGGGGAAAAAACGCTGATGTTAGCTCACACAGATACAGCAGCTACCGCTGCACCGCTGCCTCCTGTGGTCAGTTGGTGTTACAGAGATAAATCTGAACAAACAATTTCATCAAGTCATAAAAAAACTTGGGTTGGGCCTTTGAAATGATATTAAACATAATTCAAAAACAGCTAGAAAAATAACTTAAAAATACATCTTTGATCACATCCTCACAGTTTCCTGATATCTTAAACGACAGTAACGGTAATCCCCACATTCATGCCTGTAGGTGGCAATATTGCACTGAAGTTTGATTACCACCCTGAAGAAGGGGAAGTGGTCAGTACACAAGAAAGTTTAATGTATGTAGAAGTGTTCATCCTGATAAAAATGGTCCCTTTGGTGAGAAGATACTGACGTGGCCTCCGTCCACTCACTCTGTTAGTCAGGTCCTAGATAAACAAAGTCGTCCACTCACCACACACTTGTCCCAGATGATGGACATCCTCTCCTCCGTGCCGTTCACACCCTCAGGGATCAGGCTGAAGTCGTCTTTGCCCACAGCTCTCTGGGCCGTGTTAAAGGGACAGTGAGCACTTCCTGTCACCTGCAGGTCACCGCTGCAGAGGAGAAGGTCCAGAAACAGAAGGAGAACAGAAGGAGTAGATGCTGTTTACATCTATCTCTCACTGTTAGATAGAGTTTGTAAACCAGAAACTCAAGTTTATAAACCACTCACTCTTCCACATCAAAGCGAACCAGACCAAAGTCCATAGAGAAAATCAGTGATTTTAGCTCACAGACCAAAGTCCATAGAGAAAATCAGTGATTTCAGCCAGTGTTTGTGTTTGTGTTTGTGGAGGATGGTCTCACCAGGACAGCAGAGAGCTCAGATAGTCTGGTGTTGTAGGATCAGGACTCAGGGGAGGAGAAGTGACAAAAGCAGCAGCTTTGGCCCAGTTCTTGCTCCAGTAGTGAGAACCATCAGTTCCAAGACTTGCAGTGATGGGTTCACCGTAAACAACAGTACCTGCAGTTCATAATAGAACCTTGAGCTAAACATGAATTATAAAGAGTAGAAAAGAATCGTTAAGTTAAGTTTACGCTGACCTTTCTTGCGAGCCTGAGCGATGATATCAGCCGCACTTTTGCTCATCACCTTGGTCACGTACAGAGGACAGTTGGTCTGATTGGCTACGGTGACGGAGCGGTTTACAGCCTCAGCCTCCACCTAGAAACAGCAGGCAATTTGTTGATGCAGCTTCTTCACATTAAATAATAAAGACAGGCACACAAGTGTGTGTGTGTTCAGAACGACTGACCTCCTCAGGGTGACTCAGAACATGGCCTTCAGGTCCAGTGATCCCCTGATCTAGGATCCTGCGTTGCTCCTACAACCATACACAGGCAGAGGAAATGAAATGAAAATATATAATATTATAATGTATTTAATATCTATCTATCTATCCATCCATATATATAATAATAATATATATATATAAATGAATAAAATAAGTCTACATTTCTTACTTTCATAATAATGATGAAATATATTATATACAACTAAAGAAAATCATGACAGATTTGTTCATCTTAAACTAAACTCTAGTCCAATTCTATAACTTTAGTCACTAAAGTAGTAAAAGTGGGAGCAGAATCCGACTGACTGTTTGTTCGTACACACCTCAGCCACGATGTCTCCGTTCTCGGCATGAACCTGAGCCACGGCCCCCAGGTCGCGGATCACACTAAAAACTTCATACACCTGCAGAAATGAGATAACACAAATTACTGTAAGAATTACTGCACAACACAAAACAACACAATACAGTGAATCACCATGAGATTCACACCTGAGCATCGGTCAGCTGGAAAATATCTTTGTAGGCCAGGTAAACCAGGAACGAGTTCACGCCTAAAAATAAAGAGAGGATAAAAACAGTTGGTAGAGATAAGGAGTTTCCAATGAGTGGTACATGGACCCCTAGTGGGACATGAGGGCATCTTTTATGTTAAAACAGTTCGATTTTTCAATGTGGCAAATTCACTATCAGTTTAAAATAAAAAATGCAGAAGAAATATTTATTGTTAATGAAGTTGATTTTAAAGATAAATATATAATGGAGACTTCTGTTGTAAAGGAATACCCATGTCTATAATTACCCTTGGTATAAAATATAAGATCATCTTTAAAATGTTCAAGGCAGATTATTATTATATTAAAAATATTTATTATTTTAACTTGAATTAGAGTTTAAATTAAATCTTCTCATCTATTGTTACTATGTATCATCCAATAGGGGGCACCGTGGCTCCCTTGTGTTCAGAGGTGTTCAGAATGAATGAAAGCTTTTTTTACTGATTATTACACAATATTTTTATATAAATATTAAGAGTTTTTGAAGAATCAGCAACAGTTGTGAGTATGGTTGGGGGTTCGATGATGAATACGATGATGACGGTGTCTTGTTTTAATAGGGCAGAAGATAAAAAGTCTTTTGGTTTTTACCGTGATCTTTGACCAGCGTTTCCATCTCCTCCTGAAGTCCTCGATGCCACTCAGTGATGTCCACGTGCAGAGAATAATCACAGCAGGATTTACTGTCGGCCCACTGACGCCACTGCTCAAAGGCTGAGATCAGACTGGCACCAGGTTCAGGAACCACATGGTCAACTGCACGTGCACATGGATAAAAGCAGAGAGGAATAAATAAATAATAATTAATAAAGTCAGAAGTCTTCTTCTGTTTGTCGTCACTGACAATCACAGAATTTATGTAATTTAATGTCAGTGATACACAGTTGTCACAGGAACTCATCTATGAGATACTGAAGGAATAGGTGTGCAAAAATACCCTCAAGTCACAATACAGTAAGTATGACAATTTTGTTTTTGTTCACAATTTTTTTTAAAACAAAATGAGCTCCAGACCAATTATGACCAAATACAAATACATACATTTAACCTAAATAACAGAATCCTAACAATGCACATTGCATAATGGGTGCTTCAGGCAAGTTGTATTTTGTTTTTTAATCTATGTGAATTGTCACACATTTGTATTGATTTATTATCGAGTTACAATGTATTATTACATTTATGTTAAAGAATCTATTCAATGTTTTTCGAACCTCACTATTAGATAGTTTTTGTTTTGTTTGTTTTTTAAGTTGAGATTTGAGGTCTGTGAACCAGAGTTCATAGGGAAAGTCAGTGACATTTTTCTATGGACTTTGGTCTGTGAGCTAAAATCACTGTCTCTATGGACTTTGGTCTGAGTTAAATCACTGATTTTCTCTATGGGCTTTGGTCTGAGCTAAAATCACTGATTTTCTCTATGGACTTTGGTCTGTACAGTCTCTCTAACAGTGAGCTGGAGACTTCCAGGTTCAGGTTATCTCACTGATCATGGTGGTTCCTCCTGCCAGAGCTGCTTTGGTTCCCTGGTAAAAGTCATCGGCCGATGTCATTCCTCGATCAGGCATCTGGAACCGTGTGTGGACGTCGATGCCTCCGGGGATCAACATACGACCGTGTGCATCGATGGTTTTGACCCCACCAGGAACGATGAGGTTCTCCCCAATCTGCCTGAATAAAATATTATTGTTATTATTAGAAACTAAAAAAAAACTGTTCAGTTTAACGACCTTAAACATCCACTCTCATTGTGAACAGCATATTTTCTTTCTGTCAAGTCATTCATTGTCGAGACATCTTTGATTTCCTGAACTCACTTGATGACGCCGTCCTCCATGTAGACGTCAGCACAGAATGACTGGTCATCGTTTACGATCTTTGCTCCTTTGATCAGAAGACGATCGCTCTGGAAAGAAACAGATTCAAATATTGTTCTTTGTGCAGGAATAAAATAATCAGTAAAAGAAAAAAATCTGTCACTGATGGTGTCACGTCTGACTATCTTTGTTGAACACCAACCCACTCAGAAACTAATCTTTGTGAATGAAGGATTTTCAGTTTCTGGATCAGTTTGTTGTGATACTGAAGTTTGTCCGTGAAAACATTTGTAGAACTCTTGTGTGTCTTTGTCTGATAAATAAGAGTGAATCAACAATAAACTACAGATTTGAGTTTTTACAGACGTCACATCATCATGTGAGCAGAGCTTGAGAAAAAAAAAACAAACGCTGCTGCTTCTTTCAAATCTGTGTCCCCTCAGATCATGTGGAACATTTCTGACACAAATGAGACGTCCCACCCACACAGACCCCCACCCCCTCCTCTCTTCTGCTCCTCCCCCCGGGTGTCACCTCAGCAGCTCCGGCTCTGTCTTTTAAAAACACAGCAGCAGACTGAGGTCACAGGGACTCCAGCGTCCCCGGTCTAACAAAGACGGCTCTGTCTGAGCACCAGTCTCAGCCCCGCCCACTCTGCCTGAGGAAACACATTCAAGTAAACCTCAACCGCTTCATCCATTTTATCCGTGTCATTGTCACCTCTGCTGGTGAGGAGTAGACGATGAGACCAGTTCACACCTATACACTCCACTGCACATGCATCTGATTTAATCTTCATCAGATTAGGATTATCACACCTTCTCTTTGGTGGATTTCTGTGTAAGCAGCTAAATGTAAAATGTAACTGCTAAATGTTAGCCTAAAGTATAACAAACAGCAAACGTGTAGCTTCTGTCTTAGTTCTTGTTCTGACCACATGTTTCTAAAACGTGCCTCTCTAAGTCCACCGACGACAGAGTCAGGACAGATGGACAGAACATATTTAGCCTGAAGTGAACCCGATGATCTCCATCAGCTTCCTGTTTGAGTGAAAAACTGCTCCCATGATGCAAAGATCAGTGTCACGTTTGGACACGGCCCAGCACCATCAGAGGAGATGATCCTGATCCACCGTGAAATCCACTAAAGAATGGACAAACAGCAATCCCTTCATGTCCTGGCCACACTGACCTGATGGTGTGACTGTGTGAAAACACACGTCAGACATCAGATCATGACATCATAACATGACATCATAACATGACACCAGAACATGACATTGGACCATGACATCAGAACGCAGCACAGTCTCTAAAAACATCTGTTGTTTTTATTTCCCCCTCACACTTCATGTCAACCGTTGCTGCTGTTTCACTGAATCTTGATGTAGATGTTCTATTACCAAGGCTAATGCTGCTAACAGTTGAGCTTACCACTGTGTTCTAAAAAAACAGACTATGCTAATGCTAACGCTACCAACAGTATACAGCTAAATCAGCTACAGCTCTGGTGGCAACAGCAGTTTCAGTTGAATGCTACTAATAGCATTAGCATGATCACCAACATCCTGCTGTTTCACTGTAGAAAGGTGGAAAAGTTCTGATCTGAAGATGAACTTTGACCAAAATCTAAGGATTATTTGAAGTCTTTCATTGACAGCATCAACAGATTAGTCATTTTCTACATGTATTGACATTGGGCTGTCATTAAAGTGAAGCAGATTTTAATATTTGAGGACAGAATACTAAAAAAAAGCAAATAAAACACGTCAACTAAGGCAGCAGAAAGTCTGGTTTAGACAAAACACAGCTTCGTCAGATCACATGGACAGAGTATAACTAAATGATCTTTTAACTGAATTATTTCTTGTTGTTGTTGTTGTTGTTTTCAGACCGTGTGGAGACGGCAGATTAGAATGATGGAGACAGGCATTTCCTCCTCTCCTCTTTTTCTCAGCTTCCTCCACCTTCACCTCTGCAGCATTTCTTACACCATCATCTGACTCTGATCTCAGCATCCTGCAGCTCTGACAGCCACATTATTTAAACACTGCTGCAGCAGGAGCAGCACCACCACCACCTTGAGCTTCGGCAATGTTGGCCACACTCAGTTGACCATATCTGGGCTAATGGGCCCAGATTCTGGATAACTAGGTGCCCCATGTGGCCCACTATCTGCTGTTATTAGTGAACGAGGAGACTGTTCTGCTCCAGCAGCAGCTTAAGCTGTAGCAGTAATAGCAGCTAAGGCTTTAGCAGGATGCAGCAGCCACAGCGGCAGTAAACTAAGCTTCATCTGCATCAACAGTTTTAGCAGCTTCAGCTGCAGCAGTATATTTAGCTTTAGCTGCAGCAGGAGGCACTTAGCTGCTTCGGCTGCAGCTGCAAATCTGACTTGAATAGCAGCAGTAAAAGCAGCAGCAGTGTCAGCAGCAACAACACTCACACACACCCACAGCAGCTCAGTTGCTCCACACACTGACAGAAAGCAGCATCAGCAGCAAACTGGACTGGGTCTGGTCCAAATGTAGACCTGGTCCAGCCAGAGACTCACTGTGATTCTGGGGATGTTCTTCTTTCCCTGGTATCCAGACATGATCAGCTGCACCCTGAGCTCACCACCACCACCCTGACTCTAATGCTGAAGATGAAGATGAAGGAGAAGGAACAGGAGCAAGAGGAAGAGGAGGAGGAGTGTGGTCTAAGCTGATCCTTCAGGAGAATCTAAATATCTCAAGAAGTATAAAAAATTAGATTCTGTGCTCAGATCCAGGCTGCTGCAGCCTCCCAGAGCAAAGCCTGTTCCAGTTTCCACCCAGAGAGACCAGAGGAGAGAGGAACAGGGAGGAGGAGGAGAATGGAGGAGGAGGAGCCCCGGCTATGCTCCATAAAAGAAGCAGCAGAGCGCATGCTCTGAGCCTCGCCCTACTCCACTGACACTAATGCCATCAATGAGACCATGTGGATTAAACTGAGGCTCAGGACCAAGACTGAGTCTGAGTCCAGAGTCAAACCTGCTCTTCAGTATTGATGAAGTTAGAGATTTTAGCTCACAGACCAAAGTCCATAGTGAAAATCATTGATTTTAGCTCACAGACCAAAGTCCATAGAGAAAATCAGTGATTTTAGCTCACAGAGCCACGTTCCTTGTCCACTGCTGCCTCATGTGGTCAGTTTGTGTCATAGGTAAATCTGAACAAAGAATTAAAAATTTGAACTGGGTGATGGAGACAGCAACAGATCAACAACTCGTGTTGACATCAAGTTGACACCAAATAAACAATATTTTGAGTGTATATAAACAAACAGATAAAAAGTGTATCTGTTTCACAGAAATGTTTGTCTCATTCCAAATGTAAATATATAGAGTTTGTAAATATATACACATCTGCCTCGCTCACTCTTTAGTTTACTCAATGCTCTTTGTTTGTTACAGTTAAATCATGATGAAATGTATCTTTTCTCTGTTTAGTTCCCCTCCTCTCTGCTGTGTCTAAAAATGCACCAGAACAAACAAGAGTCAGATTGTTTGTGATGTATGAGCTTTCATACTTGACCAATAAAACTGATTCTCAGTCTCTAAAACAAAATGGACAAAGTTCCCTGTGGAGGCTGACAGTAACGTTTAAACATCACTTCATTCTCTCTCTGTGTCATTATTAATATTTATACGCAGGAAGGCGACGGTTTGTCCGACATATTTCTCCTTGTTTCAGATGGAAAGAGGAGCACTTTAGATGTGTGAGCAGGGCGGGGCCTGTGAGGCTAATGCATCAATCAATAGGTAACGTGATATCAGCAGTGATGAGCTGGGCTCAGGGCTGAGGGTTGGGCTTTTAAAACCCAGTCCTGAGAGAATGAAGATGTAGTGACAGAGTAGCAGAAGCTGCGGGTTCAACGTCCTGCTCTGAGACCTGGGCAGTCGGTGTGGTCAGCAGCAGGAACAGATTTTACTGCAAGTCATGGAAATCAATGCTGCCGAAACCAGGATGTAGACTCCACCCACAGAGCGAGGGCCACACAACAGACTCATCCTGGTTCACATGCAGTCATGGCCCAGGCTGTCAGTGGGCCACATCTGGTCCAGTTGAGTAGAACACAACTCCAAGACAGTTTCATCTTTGTGGCTTAGACCTGGCCCATATCTGTCTGTTCTGATCAGGTAGTCCACAAATATTGGTCAACATTTAACTATTAAATCTGGGCCACATACTGACTATAGAATACTACGTGTAACTTATCTGCTGTTAAAGAAACTACATCACATTTTATTTACAAAGGAGCAACAGCAACACTTTTTCACCCAGTATTTCAGCCACATATGGCCCACTTCAGGCCCACACCCTTTAGGTCTCAACTAGACAGTACTGCATCCAATACCACATCAACCTAGAATGTGGGACACAAGACTTAACCAAAGCATCTGGCAATGAGAAAGCACTGCAGGCTAACTATTAGCTACACTGTGGTTAGTTCATTTTAATGGGCTAACTGTTAGCCATCTTTTGGTCGATATTTAGAAGAGTTTATGGACCTGACTCTTGGTCCATTTTTACATAGCTTTGTCTGCATCCACCTTGTTCATATGGTTAGCTTTTAGCTACTAGCTGCAGGGTAAAGCAGTTTTATAATTTAAGATCACACCGGTCTAACCTGTAATCCTAATCTGTAATCCCACAACATGTTAATAAACGACAGAAGACAAATTCAGATTTAAAGAATATGATAATCTAATTACACTTCCTTCTGTTCTGATCTGATCTGCTCTAAATATTTGTTATTTTTACATCCACACCGACGAACATTATGGGATGTATTTGCAGAAAATCAAATAGAAATAATCAACCTGGAGTTTGACATTAAATGTGAAGACAAAGCAGAAATGTGCAGACATTAAATTGACACGAGCAGCAGCCACTCCCTCGGTCTCAGTCCTGCAAGGCTGTTACATCACAGAGGCATTCTGGGAAATGTATGCAGCACAACTTGTCTGGACACACACACAGAAGTCAGAGGAGTGTCAGGAGGAATTTTAAACACGTGATGATCTCACCCTTCCGTTGTCCAGGTTCTGCAGAGCTTCTTTCCCTGAAGTCTCCCTGATCTCCACCTTCCTCTGCTGGGAGATGTCCATCTGTCTGTCAATGACCTGCTGCTCCTGGTTCCTGCCTCTGCAGGAGGACAGAGCATCAAAGTCCACCGTCCTCCTCCTCCTATCAGAGGATCCATCCACTGGACAGAAGACACCACAGAATTTCTGTCTGTTGCTGTCAGGGCCGCCGAAGAAGCCCGGTGTTTCTCCAGAGCTGGACATGCTGACGGAGCTGAGAGGATCCTGAGGGTGTAGCTGCTCCTGCTGCTGCTGCTCCTGCTGCTGCTGCTGCTGCTCAGCGGGTGGTTTGTAAATGTCTCAGCTACGCACGTCTGCTCAGCTGCTGCCAACTTGTCTGGTGTCAGGGAGCAGGTGCTTTCAGTGAGTGAGTAGAGGGTGTGAGAGGAGAGGAGCTGAGAAGAAGATGATGATGATGATGTTGTGAGGAGAACCACAGTTTGTAAATGCTTACTCACGAGTCATTCAGCCTCCAGCCAATGATATTTTGCTGAGAGAGAAAATCAGCAAACGAGGAGGAGAAAACCTGGGCTGTAGCTCCAGAAACAAAGATAGAGATCGTAGGAGGAGGAGGAAGAGGAGGAGGAAGAGTCTGAGCCGGAAGCTGAGAAAGGGGAGGGGCTAAATGAAATATCAACTAGCCAAACATAACATTGTATATGTGTGTGTGTGTAAAAATCTAGTTCAGCTGAGATGTAGGTTTAATACTGTAGCTAATGGTTAGCCAAAAAGACAGTGAAAAAGACAAAAGATTATTGAATTCAGCATAAAGAAATATTCACATAATAAAGAAAAATAAATATGTACTGCTGGGAAATATACGTTTCTAAAAACAAATCTAGCATCAAAAATGTATTTTATAATATTTGAAAATAAAGGATTATTTTTTGTAATTTATTTTTAGTTACATAATAGGTACTATTAATTTTTCTTTCATAGAGCCTTTGGTAAAAAGGAGTAAAGCAGCCAAACAAGTGTGCAAACAGGCACGTGTGATCAGAATGTAGCTAAACATTAGCTAAATAGGACATAAGCCTAAAGATAATCAGAAGAAATCAAATAACACAGCACTGCTAGATGCATTTAAGCCTGAGGTACATTTATAAAAAGGTTCCCTGAAAAAAAAAGTGACATCAATTATTTATGGAAGAAAAAGAAAAACAATTTCCTGTTTGGAAAAAAAGATTTAGAGCAAATTTAACAAAAACAGCAGGACATTAAAAACAAAACAAAATCTAAACTAATGGGGATGAGGTCATCCTCTGGTGGATCAGTGACTTCATGACAGGTGGTCCAACATGTCAGATGCTTTGAAACCAATTAAACACATCTTCAGTCTGGTGGAAGGCGATCAGCACCACGGACAGTTACCCAGAAAAGTCACACCTTTGTTCAAAGATGCTGTCCTTTCTCTCTCTCTCTCAGACACAGGCACACTGGGAACAGTTGAAGCCAATCCCTCCTCCACATTCATGTTGTTATGGAAACAGAGATGACATGTTTAATATGTTTCCATGTTCTTTAAAAAAGAAAGAAAAAACAGAACCTCAGGAGTTAGGATGGAATAAACTGTGTGTCATTAAACCTGGATTTATTGATCCCTCTGCAGCACTGGTTTATCCTCAGCTCAACACATACTCTCTACAACCAATCACACGTTCATGTGGAGTCGTATGAGTGGTTTGGTCTCTTGGTGAAGGTGAATGTGAACATTGACAGATCGGACGTGTTAAAACAGTCACAGCCACAACAAAAATGTTGGGAGTTTAACGTGTAAAGCAGGCGTCCAGCATGTCAGACGGGCTCATGTGTTAACAAGAATATGCAGCCCCACCCAAATAGGACCCTCCAACACACACACACACACACACAGAGTGGGTCATTCCTCGAAAACAAAAAACTCCCAGCATAGACAAAGACAAGTGTTAGACATTTGGGGAAAAGTTGGCAGCTCGCCCTGCCAGAGCAGTTGGAAAAGACATGTGTGTGTGTGTGTGTGTGTGTGTGTGTGTGTGTGTGTGTGTGTGAACAGGAAGGGCTCGGCCCATGTCTGTGGAACAGCTGCAGGAGCAGCAGAGAGATCAGCTGTGACTGTGGTGTTTGATGTGAACCATAAGAAAACTGACCTGGAACTACGGCTCAGTTCAACAGTTTGATGTTTGATCAGCTCAGTAAATAATTACATACAGTACTGTGCAAAAGTTTTAGGCACCTCTATACAGTAGATCTACCGACCCAGTCTAACCCCGTGACCCCCCCTTTCAGCCTCTTTCCTTTTCACATATTCTAAATAGATGGACAGACAGAACTTTATTAATCCGTTGGGAAAATAAGGCAAAAATGTGAAGAAACAGGAGAATCCATTTAAGAGAAAGTTGTTTTTAGCGCCACCCGCAGTCACATCACCTGAATAATTCCTGTAACAAAAATGTGCAGTTTATTGTATATTGTTATAAGAATGCCCTTTTGCTTCTGAAAATGTATTTTAAATGCATGCCTAAAACTTTTGCACACAGTGCTGCACGTCCTCTCACTTTTACTGGTCCTGTTAAATACCGCACATGTGAAATGTCTTTAGTTTTTCCACTTTAATTTGTTAAAATTGTGAATTTATAAAATCAAAGAATTAAAAATTTTGATCTAAAATTGAAAAATATTTCTTTGGTGAACTGTTGGTGGAGAGGAGGAGACGCTGAGCCTCCTCCTCCTCCTCCGCAGCACAGGAGCAGAGATGGAGATGAGTGGGCCACCACCCTGTAACCCATGGTAACGGCACCAACCTCACCAACAGCTGCAGTGGGTGGAGCCTGGCGTGCTTCTGCGTGTTGATTGGCTGAGAGCAGGTGTTCTGAGACTCAGTGAAGGGAGGGTCTTTGTTCAAGACCAGACTGAGGAGCTCTGCCTTTCACTTCTGCTGCAGCTCAGTCTCCATGTCACACACCTACATCTAATGTAAAGGGGCAACCCACGTTTTCTATGGAAACCTGAGGCATAAATAGGAAAAAGAAAATCACCAACGACAACATATTTCTTTTCTGTAACTGCTCTGAATTCACAAATAAAAATGTGAGTCAAAGTATTTAAATATGAAGATAGAAGAGACATAAATACAAATTATTAAATGGCTGGAATACTGGGATTGGATAAATGAATGTCTAAATTATGATGTAGTTAGTTTGGTAACAAGTAAAAGTCATTGTAAAACATAATTGTACAAAAGAATAAACCAAAAAATATATACATACTGTACATCAAAAAGCTTGAACCTAAAAAGGATTGTTGTTAGAATAATGTAAAAATGTAAACATTTTCAGATGAATAAATTAATATAGATAATAAATGTATTATGAAAAATCTCATTACTCATTTAAACAACATTAGATAACAGAACATAAAAATGCAATGAAGTAAATTTGCTGAATTTTCAACAACTGATCACACAATAGTTAAAGGAGTTAAAGTAATTCAGAAATATGATTTCAATTTAAGTGGTAAGGTCTAATGAAAGCAGCCAAAACAGATTAGCATAACATTTATTTTTCAAGACTGTTGTTGGTATATAATATTGTCCTATTATAATATCTTCCTATTTCATATCTCTTTTACATATAATTTAAATTATTATCAGAAATTGTTGTTGTAATTTAATGATACTGACCGTTCTTTTGTTTTGGGTATTTTGTTTCATTCTCAAAGGTCAGAGAACGTGTTTTAAAGTTGTGTAAACGTCATTTTACTTGCAGGCGGAAAGCAACGGAAGGGAGTGCTTAAACCTTTCAACCACACGGGGGCAGTGTTTCCCCACTGTTGTCCGTATGCCAAACTTGCTGCAGCTCTGGATCGTTCAGATCAAGTGTTTCATGTCAGTCTGTGGAACAAAGAATCTGAGAAGTGAAAGGTCAGATTAAACATGAAGGTCATGACCTCTGTGTAGAATCAATGTCAAACCTGTGAGCAGCTAATGACAATTAAGTCATCTTGTTTTTTACTGTTTTTTATGACTGTGTTTTTGAACTTTGACCCAGAGTCAGCTCTTCATTTGGGTTTATGTTTAACAATACTTGTTACAACAATGGGTCACAAAAACTTCTTTGTTGAGGTCATGACATGAGAGGGCCCCTGGCCACGCCCCACGCCCCTACAAACCCCTCCCCTCAGTAACAAAAAACAGACAAAAACAACAGGACAACAGGTAATTTTCCTGTTTCTTTATGTTGAAATTTTTGGCAAAAGTGATGGAGTGTCTGTCAGAAACACATTTTACAGCTTCAATAAAACAAAAACCTTTTTTTAAATCCGTGAAAAATTTGTTTCTCAACTGAATGAGAATTTTTAAATTTCTTAAAGAAAAATCAGGCAAACATTAAAAAACAAATTTATCTAATTTTTCTCAATTTTTTAAAAAACACTTCTGAACTTCATCTTTTGTTTTTGACTTTATATCTGAACAAAGAAATAATAATTAAAAAAAAAAACTCAGCTCAGAGTCCAATCCAGCCTAGTGGGGAGTAAATGTACTACGACCATCCAAAAAAAGTTCTACAACCAGAAGAACAAAAAGTTTAAAGAACATGAACAAAACCCCCCTCCACAGAACATTCTGGAACGTTCTTCCGCTCAGAACCAAACTCACTGAACTCTGGTGCTGTTTACTATGAACCTATGACCTAACCTGTGAAGAGCTCAGATCTGTTATTCCCATGTGGGACACTCATGAAGATAACATTCACTTAGCCCACATTTAGCAACCAGTCATGGTCCAGTGGTCCACATAGGGGCCATACCTCAGCCACACTCAGCCCTGTGGAGGAGCCTAGAGTGGGCAGGATGAGTTTAGATCTCCTCTGTTTAAGCTGACAGACTGTCTACCATTTTCAAGCGTTGTGACAGTGAACTCTACATTTTCCTGTTGGGTGGATCAGGTCCTCAGGTGGACAGGGTGACAAGCAGGACCTACATTCTAGACAGGATAGAACTCAAAAGGCCTGCAGCTTCGGAGCAGGTGGTGGTTGGGATGTGGCCTACAATCTGAACACTAGATGTGGACCACTGAAAGGAATACGGGTGAATATTGGCCCAGAGATCACAGACCTGTGCCCAGTTCCTAGTGAAGCTCCACCAGAACTTCTAAACTAAGCAGTGAGAAAGAACCAACGACCCTTCCTCCAAACAAGTCTGGACGTTAGAACCTTCTCACCGACACAGACGTCTGAGAGACTGGTTCAGGTTCTGGTGTCTGTAGGGAGGAGCCTGGACTCTGAGGAGCAGCTACAGCTTCTGTCTTTCCTACACTGTTAGAACTTCCAGTTGAAGTTGTTTGGCTTCAGAACTCAACGCAAGTTTCTGTAAATGGAGAGGTTTCTCTCCGTCTTTGTCTCTGCTCTTCTCAGGAGACTTAGTGTAGAAACAACCTCTCCGTAATCCACCGACTGATGAGACGTTAGCTCATCAACAAGAAGAGAAAAGACAAAGCTACTAGAAGAGGAAGAAGAAGAAGAAAAGAAGAAGTTAAAGAAAAGAAGAAAAGTCTGTCTTAAAAAGGCATGATCACATGTTAAGTTCTGCTTAGCTTCAATCTGTGGCACAAACTGGTCTGGGCTCCAGCTAAAGAGCAGGTCAGTCACAAAAACAAGAAGGAGAAGGTGATTCTCCTAGAATCTGGTTTTAACACTGATACACTTTCTGTAAAACCCATCCCCTAAGAAACATTGAACAGTCCAGGAAATACAAACTGTCACCTGACTCGTCCTCCAAAAACTTTTACATATGAGCTGAGAAAGAGACAAAGAGAGAAGAAGACAGGAGAGGAGAAAGAGGAGGAGGACAGAGGTGTTTCTCCTGAGAGCAAGTCAAATCTCAGGGAAAGTAATGGGGAGGCAGGCAGGACAGAGGGAGAGGCGGAAGCTCGCTGGCAACGTCTTCTTCAAAACAATAGGACGAAAAAAACAAACAAACAAACTCTGGCCCACTTCTCAGGCACTTTTCTTCTGTGTGTACGTTCAGAAGGAGCTGGTGGGTGGTGTGGTCAACCTCTTCCCAATGTAGACTCTGAAAAGGAGGAAGAAGAGGAGGAGGAAGAGAAGAGGGTAAGGAGGAGGGAGACAGAGACATGATTTAATTTTTAACCTATGAAATGTCATCTTTAGGTTTGCACACACTAGACACAAGTCTTTGGTAGTAGTCAAATTTACAGCATCACAGCGTCACCTGTAGGGCAGCATGAACAACTGGAGAATGTGTGTTTTTTAAAAAACAACCTTTTAATGACTGTAATGAACCAGACATTTAAGTAAAAAATAAGTATTTGAGACCCTGTAAAATAACTTCAAATAACATTCAGATAAATAGTAAAAAATAAATATAAATATACATTTGGATTTATTTTCAGGAATATGTCTTTTAACAACCCCACAATAAATAAGAAAACTTCCAAAATACTGTGAATCTACAGAAGTTAGAAGGTGAATGTTAGACTAAATGATCGTGTGACCAGTGAGAGCTGAAGGTCTCCTCTTACCCCAGTCCCAGAGCCAGGATGTGAGAGAGCAGCAGTGACGGGATGAAGACTTTGAGGAACTCGGCGGAGAAGATTCCTCCTTTCTTCATGGCCCCAGTCTTTCTCATGCTGAGGGTGACTGAGCGACGAGGGTGTCGGAAGTGAAACTCCCTACACACACACACACACACACACACAGACGTGAACAACAGGGTCTGCTCAATGCTATTCTCAGACTACACCCCCACTGTGCTTGACTAAAGTGAGGTGTTGTTAGGGAGATGGTCTTCTCTACAGACGATTGTCACAGAACTCATCACAGCCCCTGCTGGTCAAGAAAGGTGTTAACCCTTACTTTGGAGGAATGTTCTCAGGGCGACTGGACCAGTCAGCTACCCAGTCAGAGTCCTTCATCAGGATGTCCATGTCCCTTTCCTTCTCCAGGACGTCCTCTTCTGACTGAACACATACACACACAAACACACAGTCTGGTTTTCACATGTTGTGAGGACTTCAAAATACATTTTTCCTAAAGGGGACCTGAAAAAATGTCTCTGAGAAGACAAAGGGTCCCCAGAACAAAAATATTTCACCAAAAGCATTCATTCACCAAGTTATACATACACACACATAGAATAGCAGCAGCAGTCTCCATGGTAACAGAGTGATGAGCATTCTCACCTGACTGTCTCTCCTGCTGCTGATGTCCACGTCAAACATGATTTTTCCTTCATCCTGAGGACTGTGAGGACGAGGAGGACTGAGATCAGAGGAATGAGACAAAGACAGAAACGATGAGTCACATAAAAACATCACTGCTTTATCTTTTTACTGAGAGGACATGTTGAATGCTTAGTGACAGTTTATGTGACTGGAGATCTTGGAGAACCTGGAGTCTGGTCCTGTTTTCTTTTTAATAAAGTCAGATTTCTCTGAGTTGTGCTGATAGAGCTTCTACTTTTGGTAGAAACGGTTTACCTGTCGCAGGAGGAGTTGCTGCGGCTGGACTCGTGCTGAGCGTCCAGAAGGATCTTCTCCATGTCTCCGTTGTGGATTGAGGACGATGACGGCACATGTTCCAGTCCTCCCACTATGGACTCCTCCTCCTCCTCCACCTGTGGGAGGTGCAGTAGCACTGAGGATGCATCCCCGGCTGCCGCCAACTCAGCGGGGACGGCCGAACCTTTGTTTATGTCCAATTCCACCCAGGAGCCTGCAGGGGGCAAAAGAAGGCAGAAACTTAATTTCGCTATAGCACCACAAAGAAACACGAACAAATAAGTGATTGGAAGTTTCATATATTTTTTTTAGATTTGTAGAGCCAGCATTTACAGAGCCAGTGTCAAAGACATAGCAGCATCTAATGATTAGACTGTAGAGTGCATCATATTAAGGGCTTTTTAAATTTACAAAGTAGTTATAAGTACTGTTTAGAAACAGTAGGTCAGTAAGGAGTTGGCTAATATATAGTGACCTAGTAAATATACTTCTTTAAAGAGTAGTCAATATCTTAGTAGAGATTCAATGCAGATACATAGATGTGTGTTGTTCTATTGATCTACTTGATGGTTGGCGTTACTGTCACACATGTTCTGTGGTTCTACGAGGTCTTAAAAACACTTTCACCTACTGTCACCACTTCAGGAGCTGGTCGTGACCTCATACCAGTGAGTAAATACCATATACACATTCTGGGAATTGTGTTTGACGAGCTTCAGTGCACACATACCATCCTATCTAACTAAACCTGGCCCTGCCTCCACACACACACACTGTAAACAGGCCTGGACTGCATTCTCATAAGTCCACATGGAGCCAGGCTGCTGTGAAAACCATTCCATTGTCTCTGCTCTGGGGACAAAAACACTGTTTCCATGGAGATGAAGCTTCTGGACCACAGTGAAGGACATGAGCTGCTGGGAAGCTTTAGACCTGGCAGACCTCATGTGAACTCTGTAACCTCTGGTATTGACGTCTGTACCATAACGGTCCATACACGTGGATCAGTTTAAACAACAAACAACTCACAAAACGTGCAAAAAACTTTGCTGATTCAAAATCAATTCTAATATGCGAGCCTAACATGCAGACGTGAACTAGCTCAGCTCTTAAATAATTGCTGTGTGGTCCAGAGGAGGGCGCTCTAAGAACAGCTTGACCTAAGCTCAATTATTTTAGCTCCAGTGGCAGGGACATGAGATGTTCTCTGGTTTGTGAAAACAAACGTGACAGTAAAAGTAAAAATCTCCAAATCTTAACATGTCACAAACGAGTCCTACTGACCGGCTTTGGTCCTAAACCTCACAAGTGATACAAACAATGGGACTCATGTTAATTCCACAGCTTTGATCCATTCATGGTGAGGTGACTAGAACACCTTCTTCTCAAACCCCAGGTATTAGATGAAAATATTTATAACAGTAAAGCAGGGACCTCCAAAAATAACCTGTTGTCCAGAGCATCTGCACTCTGAATGGTTCATAGGCTGATAAAGAGCCATCCAGGTCTAATTGTTGACCCTGACCCTCAGTCTCAGCATGTACAGTTTTACACATGGTTCTGGTTCTGTTATCTTACTATGGCTCTAAGAGACTGAGACCAAAGAGAAAGAAAAACAGCCTCTGAGTTTATCATCTGGTCATTATCTGACGTCAGCATGAGCAGCACTGGTCTTTCCTGATGACAGGTCATCACACAGCTGGTTATCAAACGACTTCAGTTACCTCTGCCTTTCACTTTCTAAAGACCACATAGGGAGAAGAAGATGAAACTTCAAAAGAAGCTGGACAAAAATATGATAAAAAATGGTTGTTATTCTTGGTTGAGTGCAAATTTACAGAAAAATAAGGACAGAGCTTTCTTTACAACAAAGTTATTTTTACTGCTCAAGAAAAATGTTTTTCTGATGAGTAGTGAAGCATTATCTGCTTCACTACTCATCAGAAAAACTTGTTTATGCTGCCCTTATGTTGACGTCAGATAAGGTAAGTTAGTGAGAATCTCTTAAACTGACAATAAGTTTCAAACCATTTTACATCTAGTGCGCTCCACCAGCCTCAACATCATTAGGTCAGGTCTTCATTAATTCATTGGTCAGCAGTTTAAAGTCTGATTTTACAAAATGTGTTATTTATTGATTTATTATATGGAGAACCTGTGGTTGAGACCTGACACAGACTTGAGGTGTTCTGATGGACTATGAACACCTGCTGCTGTCCAGACACAACAGGAGCCAGGTCAGAACATGGTGTTGAAGTCATAAATAACCTGGTGAGTAAACCTGTCTCCATCACAGAGAGCAGCCTGGAAAGTTTGGTCTCCAGTGCTCCGATCTCATAGCCATCAGCACGTACTAAACGTCTGTCCTCCTGTCACTGTGTCTATTTATAGCATGCCAAGTCATAACCCCCCCTCCCTCCATCCGCTTCCTAGCCTCACCCCACAGTGAGGTTAAGTTAAGCCAGTGTGAGTTCAGTGCAGCAGAGCCATAAACAGGCCTTTGTTTACGTCTCTACAGACTCTTCTGTTCTGAGAGCAGAGGAATAAAAACACCCATCTCCTGCAGACATGTTTGGACATGTTTGGACATTTGCTGCTACTGTCAGTCGAAGCACCAGGTCTTCTAAAATCTATTAGAACTGGACTTTGACACAGACTATTTCAACACCAGTTATTTTAACAGCAACATGTCACATGAATCAGCAATTACCAGCAAAGACAAACAGAAAAATGACATGCAGCCACAGGTGGCACTGGTTTAGCTCTTTTCATTACTACCTACCACTAGTGTTATTATTGCAAAATAACAAATAAAGTTGTCTGTAAGTGTTTTGCTCTTATCCTCAAAACAAATGTAAATAAACTAGTGTCCAAATTGAAGACTACTTTTGCCCTAAAGGTTGTGCCATTGAGTGATTTATCAGAATAATGGTTAGGAAATCAAACCCACAACAATGTTTTGTCTATATATATAATTTTAAAGATGTGCTAAAGAAATGAGCTAATGTGAATGAAAATCAGCTTTTTACTGCACAGGCACAAAGGCACTGAAACAAACACTGCAGTTAAAAGAAAGAGAATGGGGGTCTGTTATCTTGGCATTTTACGGTGTTTATAAAGACTCCAGACTGAGGACTACTGAAGTCCAAGATGCTAAACCCCTGAATTATAACGGCCGTGAGTGTATATTGACTTTGGCTTATGTAAAAGTTATTTTCAAGCTGAAGGAAGGCTGCTGTATATGTACGACCCAACCAACGAGATAAATGACACGTATTTTGTTATCGTCAGCTATTTGCGAACTCTAGTCCACCTCACACATCTAGAAAGATTCTTAAATCATTCAATACGAGTTCCCTCATCGCGACCTGGTAAAATGTAATTTTTAAAATATAAACACTTCAAATGCTGTACGATCTCTTAATTTTTAGAAACTAAGATATTTTATACACGTTTATTGCCTTTTCTAATTTGCCTTAAATGTAAAAACAACCAAACGGTCATTACATTCTCTTTTTGTTAACATTTTTTGGATTTTGTACACCATGAAAGCTGTTCGCGTGAAAAGAAGCTGATGGGTTACGCCCACTGTTGATCTAGTTAAACATTACAACAACAACAACTATCCAGAATTAAACTCACCCCTAAACGCACCAGAGTTCATCTGTTCGTAAATTAGGCTTAGAGAAAATCTACACATATAAACGTAAAAATATCCTGAATCTCTTTGTCTAACAATATCTTCCAGCTACTTCTGAATTATTTCATCTCCGTTTGTTGACGATCTAATAAACCCCGCCTATATCGGTTTCCTTATTTGCTCAGAGATTTGTCAGTCGCGATGTTGTAACGCCATTGGTCAGCCCCGTCAGACAACGAACACAGGAACGTAACGTTCTCACAAACGAAAAAGGGAAAAACAGGAGGAAAAGGGACAAAATGGCGACTTTAAGCCTCAGTTAACGGTTGAATTCACCCGATAATACCACGTCCAATCGCCAGACAAGACTGACACGGAGTTATATGAGACATTTTAGTCCTACCGTTGAGTCCCGGATCCCCGCTGTTGTTGAGTGTGGAGGCGGCGTTAGCAGCGTCCGACATGCTGCTGCTGCTGTTATTCCGATGCAAAGCTCCGGACTCCACAGGGAAATAGGCACATTCAGAGGCGCTGGGCTCCGCTACAGACACCGAGACCACCAGGCTATCTCCCGCCGCTGTTTCCTTCCACAGCTCGGCTACAGACTAAGCTCCAGACTCCGCTTCTCTGCGTGTGTTTTTTTCTGCTGCTCGCTGACTGACTGCTGAATCTGCTGTTGCTGACGTCACACTGATAACAGTCGGAGGGAGGTGTCAATTTACGTAACAACTTTTAATGACTGAAAATCGCAAAACTTTAAATAATTTATTATTATTATTATATTATATATACATATATATATATTGCTATCAGTTGGTGCAAGTGTTTTTTTCTAATATTTCTGCTATCAGTTGGTGCAAGTGTTTTTTTTCTAATATTTTCAAATCCGTTTTCAATTATCGAGATGCTTCTTGGTTGATTTCGACTATTTAACTGAACTGTTACCTGGGAGCAGCTGCCTTAATGTGACGTCATTCCTTTAATCTTTTTATCTTGTGCCGGGGTCAATGGTGATGTCAACAACACGCGTCTCCTTGATAACCGCAGCACAGGTGCAACTGTCTTTTATCGCCTGTTCATCCCTTCTAGGACATTCACATCCTTGACTATTTTGGAAGTGAAGGCTCACCTTCCCTCCCACTGCCTGGGTGAAATCTAATATTTTGTAACTACCAAGGTAAATAGCTCAGACCGCAGTTTCGTAATCAGAGGATTTCAGGTATATCACGACCTATTGTAGACTGGTGGGACGTTCAACCGCCAAAATCCCCGAGTTGCTTAGGTGTAGTACCAAAGTACAACCACTGCCCCTAGTGGACACAGTGTTTCACTGACGGCATCAATGCAGAGTACTTTCCCTTAGAGCAGGTATCACATTTAGTCACACAAGGGGCCAAAATTTAAAATACAGTTGAAGTTTTAGGCCACACAGGATTAACACTGACTGAACCGTCTAGTGCTGACAATGTGTCACCCAGAAATATTTAATTTGAACATTTATTTCAATTACATTTTTCCTTAAAATAAATAAAACATCAAATTCAAAATAACGTCAAGCAGAATGACATTAAGAGAGTTATGCATCGTGGTTGTGATTTGACTGCTTCATTTAATCCATTTTGTAAACATTAAAATACAACTCTCTACCTTTTAAGTCAACCAGGCTCCAGGTTAAACTCTCTCCCACAGGCCTTGAATTTGACATGTGCCTTAGAGGATTAATAAGAGTAGTCAGTTAAAAAACAACAAAAACAAAAAAAAACAAAAAAAAAAAACAAAGTGGTGCAGCATATACAAAAAAAAATCACAAATGCAAAAAAAAAGTATTTTATTCTCTTCACGGTTATAGATTAAAACTGTAGTTCTACATCAGCAGGGGCTCAGCTGAAGTATTGGTTTAAATACGCCGTATGGAGACATTGACTCCTGCCAGCCCTTGTGTCCTTACACACAGACACACACAGCGACAGCAGCCATGTCTGCAGTAGTTTAGACAAAAACACTGTTAGCGACTCAACAGCTCAGGTCAGGTCTTTTATTTTAATATCTTTTCCTCTGAAGCCACCGTCTTTTACAACACAGAACAAGTACTTTAGTTGGTGCAGTGGTAGTCCAGTGTCAGAACACAGCTTTTCCCTGGTGCTGCTCCAGTCCCTGGCTCCACACCACAGAAGAGCACAAATTAAAAAAAAAAAAAAAAGACAAAAAGAAATCAACAGAGTAGTGAGGTCCAGCTTCATTTCACAAAATAGGACGGAAATAAATCTGATCTTTTTATATAAATATGACAATTGTAATATTTATCTTATTAGGTTTCTCCTTCGCCTGATGACATATACTGAAGATAGGAACCAAAAGGACAAAAAGATTTAAAAAAAGAAGAAAAAAAAAAATGCAGAGACAACGAAGCCTGTCAAACAAGATAAAGACCTCGTCTTTGACCCTGGACCTGATCTTTGAGTTAGTGAAGACGTAAGAGGACAATATTGGTTAAAATGACTTGGGTTCTGAAAGGTATGTGTAAAAAGTGACACTGTCAAAGCGCAGTGTTTGATTATCTGATGAATAACTGTAGATGGCGAAGTGTGTGATGTTAGACATGGCGATGAACAGGTATCATCAGAAACCTCAGAATCTAATTTCACATTTATGTACAAAAGCTGTGGTACCAACAATGTACATTTCTGACTCCTACTTGGATTCATAGATACTTCTAGGCATCAAGTACTGTCCTGTTGGTTTTCTAAGTATGGAGTGGATTTAGAACCATACTGGTGCCTGAAGACACTCAAATCAGAAGTGAACTCACAATCTATGGGGTCAAATACTGCATGTGTACATACTACCATATCAGTACTACTACATGCCCAGGTCTGGGATGCTGCAGTTATTGTTACGGGTGGAGAACACAGACCGTACGGGTTGGTGGTGCTGCCTGCAGTTCTAGTTTTACTTGGTACTAGTGTGAGTGACGGGGTACTGATGGACAATTTAAACTTGTTGAGCAACTCTGCTGTGTCAAGTATTCACTCTAGACTTGACGTCGGTTTGAGTGAATGCTCAACACTGTGGTGCTAACGTTCATCAGCCAGGAAGTAGTTTGAGTTTCTGTACATCACCACCCACTGGAGCAGAGCAGAACTACACCAAAGTGCTGTTTACATACACACACACACACACTGATGTCACTGCTGCTGTATCAGATAGTGGTGTGTGAAAAACACACTTCAACAAGAGGGATAAACAGACAACAGACAGTAAAAATAAACAAAACAAAAGCAAATAGGAGTCTGAAAAAACTTTTTTCCTTAGAAAAATAAACACCAGCATGGCACAGAAGACTGAGGGGTGGGGCCTTTAAGTGTTTTCTATCAGTAGAAGAGGAGGAGACGTTATAAAAATAAATGGGTCTGTGTTCATGATCGGAACCAAAATTAAACAGGTTTGTGGGCAAAAGAAAATTTAACTAAAGTAATGAGCGACAGAGAAAATAAATTGGCACAACATTAGTGAACGGAGGAACAGAGGCAGAAGTCGATCTGCCACAGCCAGGCTTCTTCTGTCCACAACTGCAATAAGTGGCAACCCAGTCTGCCCAGGAGCAACAGACAGGGGACGCTGGTTAACGGCATTAAACCACAGATCACTGAGGACCACAGATCACACACACATACACACAGGTGTGTGTCCACTCCAGGCCTCAGCCCCACGTCATAATTTAGTTCACTTTATCCTGGAATATGTAGAGGTTGTTGGTGGTTGCCACAGCGATGATGTTGTCCTGCGGGTGCCAGGCTGTGTGCAGGATCTTCTTGTTGAAGTCCAAACTGTCCACGCTGATCTCGTCCTTCTTGCGTTTCCCGCCCGCACACACCTTCCTGGGCTTCAGCACCTGCAGCGGCTTGCTGTTCTCACGGGATGCCTCCAGGGTCACGTCTCGGTGCTGGCCACGGTCGAACATCCGGAAGAAGTTGTTGTAGGAGCCGGTCATTACCACACTAATGAAGAAGAGTTTTTTTTTATTATTATTAGTTTCACATGACACAGCTGCTTACAGATGAAAAAACGTTTTGGAAGTTTCTGGGTGAATTTTTCATTTGTATTTCAAATTCCTTTTGAAATTCACATGAACTTTTTTAAAAATATTTTTCACCATTACATTGGAAAAGACAATGAAGAAATATATGTACAAAATCAGAGCTATTAAGATAATTTAAAACATTTCAAAATGATATTAAAAACATGTACAAACGTGCAACTTTTTTTTTTTTAACGAAAAAGTATTTTCTGATCAAACAACAGATATTTATTTTTTATTGACTGCACAAACTTGTCTTGACTGTTTTTTCAGACAATGTGCATATGTTCAGTCCAAACTAAAGCTTTCTCCAGCAGAGGGAGCCCTAACCACAGCTCAAACTTTAATCAGTCTTCACTCTTGGAAACTGAAGCATCATTAAAGTAATATACTGTATTTCTTAACTAAATGATAATCTGTAAAAAATGTGTAAGAGCCTTTTCCTAGACTGGAGGACTGAGTATCAAGTCTAACCTGTCATCTCCGTTCCAGCAGCACTCAAACTTGTCAAAGATACAGTCGTTCTCGTACAGTGAGCACAGTTTACTCCTCAAGTACTCGTGGACCTAGACATAAGAACAGGGGGGAAAAAAATTACTCATACATTCAATTTATCTTATCTTATTTAAGACAGAGGTACATGAAGATGTGGAGATCTCCATTGGGATTGACAAGAATGGACAGGATCAATGAGCAGATCAATGAGCAGAAGGACAGTTAAGATGGACTAGTCTGGATATAAAGTTAGAGAGATGTGATGGACAAAGAATGTTGGCGATGGACCTGCCCTGTGTTGGAGGAGATGAAACACAAGATCGTGGGTGTAGTGATGGATAACATGGAGACAGTTGGTGCAACAGTAGAGCAGGCAGAAGCTCAGTAGTAAGTAGAGTCTGTAGTAAGACTCTCTGCTCCCTCCATAGGCCCTTGACCTGAAGAACTTTGCTGAGCTGTGGTGACTTCGTAAAAGTCAAATCCTCAGATGAATTTCACTCTCACTCCACATTTTTTACTGTAAACGCAAACCCTCATCCAACAGCACAAAGACAGAAAGACACCAGTGTCCTTCTTCTCTCACCTGATAGGTCTCAACTGGCCTGGTCTCCATGTTGAGGTCCCAGATCTTCACAGACAGGTAGTCTCTGGTCATCATGTATCGACCGTTGTGGCTGAACTTGACATCAGAGATGGAAGAGATGATCTCTGAGAAGAAGGAGCGATTGCTGGGATCTTCTGGCTCCTCAAACACTGGAGTGAAGCAGAAACAATCGAATCTTTACGCCGTCTGTTGAGATGCGAGCATGGGGGGAAAAAAAAATACTGACGTTTCGAGTGTTTGTCACAGAGTGCAGCGTTCCTCATGTCACACAGACGGATGGTTCCTTTGCTGCTGCTGTAGACAAAGGTGTTACACTGAAGAGGATGGAACTCTGCTGCTGTGATCACCTCCGTCAGGTCCTCCATGTTGGCTGGTTTAATATCCACAATATCTAAAGAAGGAGGGGGTTAAGGACTAGAGACATCGACAAAGACTTTAACAACATGAACCAATTAAAAGCTCTGATTTAGGATACTGAAGCTGCGGTCAGTGATCTCCAGGTGCCACAGGTTGATGCGAAG